AAAAAAAAAAAAAAGCTGTCGAGTCAATAGCAACCCTGTACAGGGTTTCCGTGGCTATAAATCTTTACAGGAGCAGAAATCCTCATCTTTCTCCTGCAGAACAGCTGGTGGTTTTGAACTGCCAATCTTAAGGTTCACAGCCTGATTTGTAACCACTACGCTACCATAGCTCCTTCCTCAGAAACCCTATGTAGGGTCGCTATGTGTCTGAGTTAACTAATGGCAGTAGGTTTTAAGGTCTCTTACTGAGGCACTGTAGGATAAGCAGTCGACCATAAGGTCCATTTGAACCACAAGTCGGTGGTCCACACTCACCACCACTCCTCAGAAACCTTATACAGGGTTGCTGTAAGTCAGAACCTACTCAAGGGCACGTATCAACAAAAACTAATCAGCCATGACTTTCACAGTGGAAGTTATGCTGATGAGAAGTGTGAGGGGGTTTGGATGTTATGTTGAACTGTATCTCAGGATTAATGGGAGGTGAAAGCAAAGGGAAGGGTCTAAATTTTGCTAGTCTCCAGAACAGTTCAGTGATAGGTGTGTTTACAACTAGCAGTAACTTATTACCTGTGGACATTTTCTACTTCATCATTATGACTTTTTCAACCCCAAAGGTTTTGCTTAGTAATCCAGTTGTTTAAAACTTACACCCCATGCCCCTACTCCAGTCCCTCAGCTTAAAAATCAAGATGGTCAGTGTATTTCCTGGAGTCCTGGTGTGGTGCTGAGGAATAAAGCACTGGACTGCAGAATCAGTTTGAATCACAAGGTTAGCAGTTCAAACTCATTAGCCACCCCTTGGAAGCCATATACAGGGTCACTATGAGTTGGAACTGACTTAATGTCACCTAACAACAAACATACTTCCTAAGATTTTTCTCTGCGTGAAATAATTTGTTGTTTTTGTTGTAGTATATGAACACTACATTGCTGATTTCATCTTGGAGCAAATACCAAACTGTAGATTATTTTCCCTTCTTACTCAATCTTTACTAATCTTGTTCAATTTAGATAGATTTTTGCCTTGGGCATTTTTAAACTCCCAGAAACTGTTATAGACCTTCTCACTCCTTGGACTCTTCTGGAATGTAAAATAATAAGAACAAACAAACAACTTAAAGTGGTCGGATGACATGTTTCCTTTTCTTTCTTCCAGATTTCCGTGTTGACTGTAGCCGACACTGTCAGGACTTGCTCACTGGACCAATGCTATAAGACGTTCCTGTCTCCTGCCACCAGTGAGACTAAAAGGAAAATGTCTACCTTCCTGAGCAATGTCAAGTCTTCTGACAGTCCCACCCAACATGCAGTGGGATTCCAAAAGGCATTCCAGCTGATCCGAAGCACAAACAATAACACAAAATTCCAAACAAGTAAGTGAATTCTCAGAGCCCATGTCAGCATAATTAAGTACTGTCAAGTAGGTTTTGGCTCACAATACCTTATAGGGTTTCTGAGGCTGTATCTTTCTCCCACAGAAGGATGGAAGATTGAAACTACTTACCTTGAGGTTAGCAGCCCAAATTATGCTACCAGGGCTCCTTTGTCAGCATGATGTTGTTGTTAAATGCTGTTGAGTTCGATCCATAGCAACACTGTATAGAGTTTGCGAGGAGCGACTAGTGAGTTTGAACCACCGACCTTGCAGTTCAAACTGATTTTTCAGTCAGCGCACTAACCCACAGTACCACACCAGGACAAATCTGGCACAAAAGATATATAATGTTGTTGTTGTTGAGTGCCATCGAGTCGGTTCTGACCCATAGCAACCCTGTACAGGGTTTCCGAGGCTGTAAATCTTTACGGGAGCCGAAAGCCTCGTCTTTCTCCCGGGAGCGGCTGGTAGTTTCAAACTGCTGACCTTGCGGTTCACAGCCCAATTCGTAACCACTACACTACCAGAGCTCCTTATAATACTATGTTTAAAAAGTTGGGGGTTTTCACTTGAAAGGACAAGTAGACCAGCCTGGAACAGCTAGAGGAGCAGAAGATATTTCTTGAAAGAAAGAGTAGCAGGAAAAATCCAAAACAAAAATGTCAGTTTGATTGACTACTATAAGAACAAGCAAGTTGTTTGCCTAGGAGTCATCAAGGCAAGCAATCAGGTCCCTTCAGAAGAAACACCCCTCCAAGACTGAAACTCAAAGCTTGCTGGCAACCACATTGGTCTCCTGGTGAGTTGAATAGGGGGAAAGCAGCAATGAAGATATGGGCTGAGTTCAGCCACCTTCAATAGACACATGTTGACCTGAAGATGAGAGAGAGAAGAGGAAGGGCTGGTTGGTCTGAAAGTGGTGAGACCTGGGGACACCGGAGCCCATGGACTAGGATATAGCCACAGAGAACTAAAGCTGAGAGCAAAGCGTTCAGCTGACATGAAGTGAGAGGAGATGCACTAGAACACCCAAGCTGCGAACCGCAAGGTCAGCAGTTCAAAACTACCAGTTGTCCAGCAGGAGAAAGATGAGGCTTTCTTCTCCTGTACAAGTGTTTGATGAACTTGGCCTGTAATTATTGATATAGTAGCTCAAAATACCAACTGAGAGCAAAAGAATCTTCATATCAAGGATCAGTCCTATCCCCTCTATATACAGGGTTGATAGGGACAGGCAACTTAGACCTTGGCTACTTAAAATGGAGGAGCTATAAAGGCATGAAGTGACTGGCTTACAAGTTTTCAAGAGGGAATTTCGTTTCAGAGGTTGCAGGGGAAGGCAGAATCCCCACTGAATAGTATTCATCTTGTCTAAAAGGGTCTGGTGAAAAGAGATGGGGACAAGATTCTTATAATTCAACAGTGAGTAATTATTATCATGACTACTGTAAAGGCAGAAGTTTTGTAACAAAAAGAGGGGAGTAGTTAATCTTACAGTCCAGGAAGAGAATACCCTAGGACCATCAAGGGAAAAGAGCATGAGTAGAATGTGGGACCCTATCCAGTGAAGCAGGGACACTAGAGAGAGAGACAGAGATGAGGATGTGGAGAAATAGAGCACCTGAGGACTCTAGACTCATGGGAAGAGAAAGGCTGTGTGCTGGAGGCCAGGTGCTAGTGTCCAGGAGGCAGATTTGCAGAATGTGCCCTTTGATTGTATAAATGATTATATATATTCCTGAGTGTTTTTGTGTACATCCCAAAAAACAAAAAACAGAGGGAATAGAAGCGCAAATACTGTTGAATGATGATGCATGGAGGGGATTGTAATCGTTGTAATGAAAGGATGAGTGTAAAACTGATGTTCCCCCATGTAAACTATCACTCAATCCACAATTAAAACTTTAAAAAAAATTTTTTGGTTTGTTTGTTTGTTTGTTTGATTTGATTTGTGATCAGATTTTCATGTATTGTGGTAATAGTCATCTAATCTTACTAAATTTTATCTTTTCTCATTAAAGATAGAAAAGATAAAATTTATCTTTTTTTACTCTTCTTTCTCCTTTATGAAGAACATATCTCCATTTCTGTCCCAAAAGAATACTCACATCCTTTTTAATGCTAATCATCGGCCCTGCCTCCTCTTTGACTTGGAGTGGATGTGCACATGAATGATGCAGCAGGAATCCTTTCCTTGATCCTTCCTTCCTTCTAACCAGCTGCCTTTTAGATGAGTGTGGCCCTAATGCAAAGGGACTCTAATTTAATTTTCAGGTATTAAAGAAAATCTGGAATTGGAATGCATGCTAGAGTAAAGGATATTTGAATTGGACTCATACTTGGACACTGTTAAAAGGAATCTATGTGATCTTCCTTTCATATAAAAATGTGTTTGTAGTTTGGGTGTTTGTTTTAGGGTTCGTTTTTTAAGAAAATGATTGTATCCTGTTGAGATGCACTTTCATGCTTTTTACTGTACCTGCATTTAAACTGAGAAAGCATTGCTGAATCCCAAGCACAGAGACTGGTACGTGGTGGGGGGTGGGGGTGGGGCTTAAAAGGAGGAAGCTACTTTAATGATTATAACTAATGATGGTAGGTGTTGAATTCATTTTTAGTTCCTGCATAGCAAAAATACTACAAACTCAGCTGCTTAAAACAATATACTTCTAGTATCTCGTCGTTTCTGTGAGTTAGGAGTTCACATACAGCTTATCCAGATCCTCTGTTCAGGTTCTCACAAGGCTGTAACAAGGTGTCTTACCAGAAACTAAGTGTTCCATTTCAGACTCATGTGAGTGTTAGCAGAATCCATTCCCCTGCAGTTCCGTTAGCCTGCTTCTTCTTCAAGGCCAGCAGGAGACCGACCATCTTTTGAAGGGTTTACCTGATGAACAAGCCCACGCAGACTAATCTTCCTTTTGATTAAGTCAGAGCCAACTGATGGGAACCATAATCAACTGATTATGTATTTTTACAGTGGTAGTTCCCCCAAACTACGCAACCCCACCCCAACCCCACACTTTTGTCTCCTTACATACTTTATTTTTGTGGGTGCATTATGTGCAAAAAATATGGTAATTACAGCTGCAAAATTTCTTTGCCATATTATGTAGCTTAATCATGGGAGTGACGTCCTATCACCTTTTCCAAGTCTATTGGATAGAAGCAAGTTACAGGTACTACCCACATTCAAAATGAAATTAGATGAAGGTGTGACTCTTTGGGGTCATCTTAGAATTCTCTCTACCAACTGTTCACATGCCAGTATTGCAGAATGACTGAACGTAAGGTTACGCATGGGTCAGCATGACCAGCAAATAGTCTGACTTAAGTATTCAGTGGATATTGGCTAGTTTACCAGTTTTACAAGCCAGTTGCTATTTACCTCTCAAAGATTATCACTAGAAGTACTATTTTCACTTGGTTCAATTGCTGAGCTATCATAAAGGCTTTGGTCCCCTTTTGGTAATTACACAGTTAAAAAGTTGACAAGAAATTCTAGAATCAGATGCCTACCATGGCCAGGTAGTTAGTATTGTTGTTGTTGTTAAGTGCTATTGAGTTGCTTCCGACTCATAGGGACTCTGTATAGGGTTTCCAAGGAGCAGCTGGGTGGGTTTGAAGTGCTGACAGTGGTTTGCAGTCCAGTGCTGATCCTACAGTGTCACACCAGGAAGCAGGGGGTAAGATAATGGGGATTGTTTAGGACAACATAGAAAGTTAAAGAGTGCATGCTCAGCTACAAACTGACCATCTGGCCTGCTTCATCGTTACTGCTGTGCTGAAATACCTTCCCAATGTTGCCAGATCTTATTTTATAAGAAGCCAGAAATCTGGATTTTTATGTGAAGTCTCGGCATTTTCAAATGTTGACATTTGTTCCTGCTTTAAAACAGTGAATAGAGACCTCATTAAACCTCTTCTCACATACCTTCCTGCCGGTTAGGAGAAAAGTGCATTGATGGGAGGCATTTCTCCTGTAAATCCTTGTTCCCACCTCCTCTCAATGTAAGTTAACAAAAAGCAATAAGAACAGCGACTGCCCCAGGTTGGGGCAGATTTTGATGTGGTTTTTTTTTGTTGTTGTTGTTGTTGTTTTTGTTTTTTGTTTTTTTTTTTAATGTGATGGGGACCTCTTTTAAGGCCAGGAAGATATTTCTGTGAATAAGATTAAGCCCACAGGTCTCCGGTTTATAGCTTGCAATGACAGTTCAAGGGGAAAGGAACTTGAATTAGATTGTATAAAGAAATATTTGAGGAATTTGGGTGTTCCGTTCCTGAAGGAAAGGTTTCAAGGTGTTCTCAGCAATATAGTACCCATGTGGTTAAGTTCTAAAGCCCAGATCATTATGTGACGATAAAGGATAGCCACATCAGATCACAAAATGGTGAAGGGCTGTAGCATTCCCGAGCATCTTTACATAACTGCCAATGACATCATTTCATGCTGCCAAACCATCAAGCATGACCCAGCCAAGGTGACCCATAACCCTCACCGTTAGAGCCCGGGCTACTCACACCTCACCCAGGCATTAGTTACTGCCAGACGTCCATCATTAATGCACAAAATAGTCAGAGAGCAGATTGCTTACTATTGTTGTGAATGTGAAATGTCAGATAATGCGATAGTAAGTGAGGGGTAGGAGTACAGTGCATAAGTGTGTGGGCTTTTTATTTCAACCTATGTGGGCTCAAATTCCTACTCTGGAATTGTTCTAACCTTGTGAACTTACATAAATTATTTGATTTCTTCAGAGCTGGTTTCCTCATGTGTAAACTAAAGATGATAATAAGATCCAGGATTCTGTGTCTGGCACAATAAATATCAGTTGTAGTAATTACAATATTCTATTTCCTACAGGACTTCCAGCTCCAGCTAAACTAAAGCAGATATGCCAGACTGCTATGAATAGCCCCAAACTCCAAACAGTGACTAGTAGCTCTGTCTACAGCATAGTGAGGCGTGTATGTAGCCCTCCTAGAAGCTCAGACTAG